ATTGTTGGGTTGGTTACCTCCCTCCGTTTCCCTCCCACCCACCCCTTGCATGCACCCCGTTTCGGTACAGTGCCACGTCAGCAGTGCAGATCAGCTGTGCCACGTCAGCAGTGCCACGTCACAGTGCCAAGTCACAGTACCAAGTCAGCAGTGCCACGTCACAGTGCCAGATCAGCAGTGCCACGTCCGCAGTGCCAGATCAGCAGTGCCACGTCTGCAGTGCCAGATCAGCAGTGCCAGGTCACATTGCCACGTCAGACATAGTGCCACATAAGCAGTGCCACGTCAGACACAGTGCCACGTCAGCAGTGACGTTCAACACAGTGCCACGTCAACAGTGCCACGTCAGCAGTACCATGTCAGACGCAGTGCCACATCAGCAGTGACACGTAAGCAGCATTGCCACGTCAGCAACATGACGGGCCTGCCAGGCCAACTGGCCAATGAGACCATTGCCGCCTACAAGTAGCGTTGCCTGGCTCAGATAGAGGCTGAGGAACAACGCCTGCTGGCAGTCGAGGCTGCCCGCATACAAGCTGAAGAGGCAGCTGCAGCAGAGAAACTGCGGCTACAGGCCGATGCAGAAGTAGATGCCCAGGCTCGCCGAAAGGAAGCCCAGGATCTGCTGCAGCGGCATGAAGCCAACAGCATCGACAGACTCAAGTACTGGCATTTTCAACCAAACGGCGACGACGCAACACCGGAAGAAAAGCACAAGGAGTTCCTCTCCAAACTCGTGACGCGGTTGTTGTATGCTTGCAACTACCAAAGGTCAGAGTTGGAAAGACAGCACCGGGACCTGACGCAACAGCATCAGGAATTGGCGACGCTCCGCCGCACAGTGCAGAGCCACGAGGATGCAACTCGGGCACTCAATGCCCGATTGTTGGACCTGGAACAGGCTGTACCAGGACCAGCCGCTGGAGCTTCCACCAGTGCACCCTCAAGCCGCCAACTGGAGGACCGCGTTGACCACGTAGTGGCAATGCTCGGCGACATCAGCACCTTCTCTGCGCCGACCACCACCATCAGCAGTCAGCTGCATACATTGAAGACCGAGGTCCAGAAGCTGCAGTCGACGAACGCGGACGACAATCCGAAGATGTACAAGATGCCAACTTTCAACCTGGAGAGGCTCGACGACTACACGCAGCAGGATCCCGTCCTCTGGTGGGAAGCATTCACAACGCAACTCAGGATTCTGCCAGTAGCCAAGCATGCGTACATCGGCGCCCTGTTCCTGAACTCAAAGGGCGGATGCCAGACCTGGTTGAGCCACCTGGCAACCTCCCACGGCGTCGACATACCAGACTTGAAGGACGTAATCACATGGGAGGAACTAACACGGCTGTGGAAGAAGCGGTTCATCGTCGACGACGCGCCGACACTCGCCATCAACCATTAGTTTACCATGTCACAGGGCAACACAGCAACACGGGACTGGCTCACGGAGTGGCAGAAGATTGCGGTTGTGCCCAATCTGAACCTACCATTCGAGCATCTGCGCCGTGAGTTCTACAGCAGGTCCTGTGCGGCATTGAGCCAGGCTCTTGGTCATCGCGAGCAGTACTCAACCTTCGCAGAGATCATTGACAAAGCAAGGGAGATCATCAAGACCAACAGGTCAGCTGCAAACGAGAAATCAACATGGCAGCCGACCTATGTGGAGAAGGCACGAACTGGTCCGCGACAGCAGCACTTCGCTGCAGTCCA